AGAGAGAGAGAGAGAGAGAGAGAGAGAGAGAGAGAGAGAGAGAGAGAGAGAGAAAGAGAGAAGTGGAAATTAGTTTAGTTCTCCTATCTGGGAACGCTTTAGAAATTCTTGAATTGGTCTCCAGCCGCTGGAAAAGACGTCCAAAGTGGCTGGAGGGAGCCGTGCGACGCTGAAAAGGGGGTGGACGCGGACAAGGGGGCCGACGCGCGAGGCTGGTCGGGTGCGGTGGCGTGGCGGGGTGGGGCGGGGCGCGACGTGACGCGCGGTGCGGTGGGGTGACGGGTCGGCGCCGCGGCGCCCCGCTCCAGGAAAGCCATGTCTTGTATCGCGCAAGGCGCTCCAATGAACACGGCAAACAGAGCGGAGGAGTGACTGACTGGCACCCGAGCCCAGCCCGCGGTAAAAGCGACACCAAAACAGCTTGGAGAAATCCTAGCTTATTACTCATGCCGTTTTTTGAGTCATTTTTGTTACACCGGAAAAACGAAGCCCTCAACTCGCCTAAACTAATGCCCAATAAATAAGTTTGTGAAATAGTGCCTCTAGAAGCAAGCTACGGTCTTTCAAGTGCTACAGTCTTTCAAACGTGCTTTTTTACAGATAGAGGCTTTAGTGGGGTAGCACCCCTAAAAATTTACGATTTATAATTAATATTAACGGAATATGTAAATTTATGACACCCCAAACTTCATCGTCGATAAAGTCCAAGGTCCAAGTCAAGACAGAATGCTTATAATTTTACAATATGGATTTGTAATTTTACGACACGCTTTAAGCATTTTTTTCCTGTAAAACCTACAACTATTTTTCACAGTGAAGAGTGTTAATTTCTAAGAATATTCGGGGCACCTTTGCTGCACATTTTGGGACAAAATGTAAGGAGGGAATGGTAAGGAGGGGAGTGAGGGACAACCGGTGGACCGGTTGGTGTTGTCGCTGAATACCCTTTCCCTTGGCCTCTTTTCCCCTCTCGGCGCCCAAAGAGGGACGCGGAGACACTTATCGGCCGAGTGGGCCAAAGGAGAACAAAATGACGAGCCGGGCGAACGGCGCTTCCGGACCGGGGACGGGGGGTGGAAAGGGGGGGGGGGACTTCCTCATTGGCGACCCCGTGGCCTGCTGCCCCCTGGCCAGTCACCTCAAAATCAGATCCCCTCTCCCCTCTCTCTCTCTCTCTCTCTCTTTGGATAGTCCCGACCACACCGACCACTGTCGTCGCCTGAAAATTTTTTCCAGATAAGAACTCTCGCGCAAAACAAACGTCCATTATTATACTGACTGAGAAGAACAAAACGACAAAACCTTGCGAATGAGCCTCGCTCTTCGGCCGCCCCGTGCCACCGCGAGACAAAGGACCCGGGCCGTGACCCCGTTACAGCAGGGGCGCGCAGCCTCACTGTCACCAGTCCTTGTTATGATATCGTCACATCAGGCAGACCTTTGATTCTTTAATTTAATTTACAAAATTAAACTCCATGACCTTGTGTTTTTTCGTTTTCTTTAAATTTTTCGGTTTTGCTGAAAGGAACGCATTCTTTTGGGGGTCATAGCGGACGTGTGGCGCTGCTGCTGCTGCTGCTGCTATGGCTCCATACATGGGGGGCTGTAGAGCTGGGACCATCGAGCACAGGGGCTGGGGGGTGGCGTGTGGGTGGCGCGGGGGTGGGTCGAGCGGGGGTTGCGGGGGCCCTCGGGGGCTTTTGCTTCACGCCCGGCCGCCCCGCTTCAAGAGAGCAAAGCTAGCAGTGTGCTGCCACCGCCGCCACCGCTTCACCCCCCCCCCCTCTCTCTCCGACCACCCCCTCTCTTCAACCCTCTGCTGCTCCGCCGCGCCGCGCCGTCCTGGCCCGCGGCGCCGGCTCTCTTTAAACCAGCCGCCCCTCCCCGCCCCGCCACGACGCCACCTCTCTCTGCTCCTGACAGCAGAAGCGACACTCCGGGCGCTAATTCAAACACCATCCAGCGTGTGTGTGTGCGTGAGAGAGTAAGAGAGAGAGAGAGAGAGAGAGAGAGAGAGAGAGAGAGAGAGAGAGAGCCGCGCCCCGGGGTGAAGCAGAAGCGGTGGAGCGCGGCGGGCCCAGATCCAGCCGCAATACCGGCGGGGGGCCGGCCGGGCCGGGGCGGCAAGCATCAAATAACATCGTGTTTGCTTTTCGCTAAAACAAAACAGAATAACGGTCGAAATCAAACAAACGCCCCCAGTGGGATTGCGTGCTACCGCGCGATGCTAAACGCATACGATGGTATACCACGACGCAAAGGTTTGCTGTGGTTATCCCCGGGGAGCTACTGGCCCGACTGATTAGGCTTCATCCTCTCCTTGCCCTCCAAAACACGTTTTAAAAACGTAAAAATAATGACGTTGAACTACTGTTTACTTTTAGTAAGAAGGTAGAACGTAGAAACGTCCCGAGCTCGGGATCCTAGGATCCCCCAGTCTAGTTCATAACATCTACCGTAGAGGATATATCTATTTTCATTCTTGTATTTTCTGTTTACCACCCTATGTTTTTCAATATTGTGTTTATCTCTGTTGTAGCAACAGCAATCGCGTACATAATGTGTCAGTGTCACCTTCATGGGAATATATTCCCTACTATAGTAGAGACAGTGTAAAATAGGGATACATCCATTATTGTGAAAATTATCGCCGTTCTTTGAAAGGATACAGTTTAACTGTACTTTTAGGACCACTTGCCCTACAATTTACAATAAAATTTTCAAATTCTGAATTTTAAATAAAATTTACGATTTTCAACAGTGATTATTTGAAGAATTTTCACAGTGTGGATCCATATGCCCCTTCCTTTTTCACACTCCGCCTCGTCTCCACCCGACGCGATTTTTTTTTCCATTTCAAAACAGTTTGATCGCCGATGTTGTCCTTCACACTTGTTTACCCCGTCAGAAAGGCCAGGCCCGCGCAGGAAGGGGCGGCTCCCTCCGGGTGGCTTAAGGGTTGGCAGTGTGTTTGCTATGGGAATGCGAGTGGCTTCACGAACTGTTGCTGCGGGTGACAGCGCTGGGCGGACGGCTGGACTTTGTGCGCGAGATAGATAGATAGATAGATAGATAGATAGATAGATAGATAGATAGATAGATAGATAGGAGAACTTCTTTATTCCGAGCGAGATTCCGAGGGTAACGCGCGTGATGATTATAGGAAAGAGAAGCTTCTAACGAAGACGAAGCAGCAATTACGAGAGAGAGAGAGAGAGAGAGAGAGAGAGAGAGAGAGAGAGAGAGAATAAGGGGAAGGATATAGGGGACGATCCGAAGCACCAATCAGTGGTTCAGTGAACCGTGGCGTATGACGAATAATGGATACATGCGGCCGGAACGCGTAACGAGGGATTGTTCGAGCCGAGAGGAGAGAGATGCCTCCGTCCTCTGCGTCTCTCTCTCTCTCTCTCTCTCTCTCTCTCTCTCTCTCTCTCTCTCTCTCTCTCTCTCCCTCTCTCTCTCCCGCCTCTCACCCCACTGGGGGCGGAAGGCTGTTGGGGCGTCGCCTTACAGAGGGGCGGCCAATGGGACGCTCAACCCCGACGCTGAGTGGGCCCCACCCCACGCCACGCTCCGCCACGCCCGACGCCCCCCCGACGCCTGCCGACGCCGCCGTCGCGGTAGATCGATGCGATGCGTCCCTGCCAACTGAGCTACTGCGGGGCGGGGTGGAGTGGGGCTGGGCAAGAGGTGTAGAGCACCAAGTCATACCTTTCTACCCCCAGCACAGAGACATCACATGTGAACATCCCTCTATTTTGCATTTGAGAAAGAACCTTCCTATAAGGCTGCTCCGTTGACGGTTCAAATATTTGAAGAATACACCCACAGAAATTATTAGAAATAGCAATGGCAACCATCATATGGTCGGCTCAGGGAGCACCATAAAATATGGTTGAGACAAAAGTGACAACGTGATGAAAACCATATTTTTGGTTTTCACAACCACGGTAAGGTTGCATCAACCATATTTTATTGTGCTCCCTTAGCCAACCATATGATGGTTGCCATTGCTAATCATTTCTCTGGGTGTACCGACGTGATTAAAATGCCTCTATTGAAAAAAAAATGCGTACGTGTCACCAAACTAAAAGTTTTCGTTCGTTCCGATCTAAAAATGTTAGAGTAGGACAGAAAAATGGAATAAAAATTCCGCTCAACTCAACATCTCATCATATCTCTGTGTCTCGACCCTGACACCCCGCCCCACCCCTTTCCCGCCCCACCCCGCTATCGGCGTTCACATCGGTGTGCACACGTGTACTACATTCTTGTGCAGCCGTTCGGCACCCGCCCCGCCCCGCCACGCTCCCAGTCAGAGATAGGAGTCGAGTCGGGACCCTCCAGCTCCGCTCCAGCGGCAGTGAGGCCAGCCCAGTGGAGTGCATTCTGTCTCGGCGTGTCACTCTATCTATGCCCATCTCTCTGTGTTGCGGGACCCTCGGTGGCGAGAGAGTTGAGCGGATCATATTGTCGCGCTCATAATCAGGATCAGGACCCTTTACGATGTGTGCGGTTTTGCGAGTGGCGTGGAAAAGCCGTTTAATTATTCCTGCCCAGTCAGGTGCGTCGAAGAGATCATACGGTTGCAACAGTACGGAACATTTTGGTGCACATTCTAGCAGCAGGGGGAGAACCCTGCTGTCGGATTTTCAGAGTACCAAAGTCCGTCATACAACTCTTAGCTTAGTTCACGGAAACCGACCCACCGACCCGAAGAGGAATTTTGGTGGAAGGAACGTGGATTCCACGTGGATTAGAGATGTGCGAATCAGGTTTTTTCCCCTCGAATCGAATCATTGAAAAAATTCACAGAATCGAATCGAATCCGCAACTTTTCTCTCGCATCGAATCGAATCGAATTTTCAACTCAGTTTTTCGAATCAAATTCGAATTTTATCTGAAAATTCCAAGTAATTCTCACGTTGTTAGAAAATCTAAATAGGAAGTGTGTGGCTCAAAAACTGCAATGCAACAAAAATATAAGTGACAGCAATACATATTTCTTTCATAATTTTCTAAAATCACAAGGAAATGGTTAGAGAGTTTGGTTATAGTTATATGTAACGAGCGCGCCATTCAAACAGGAAGTCGATAAAAGGGGCGACAGATTCGAAGGCGAACACCATCGATTCGAAATTTTCGAATAGTTCGGATTTTCAGCAAATTTCCCGTGAGCAAATCGAATCGAATCAGAGCTGATTCGATTCGATTCCGAACCTTTCGCACATCTCTACGTGGATTGGTGACGTGGATTCAACGTCCAATTGCCACGTGATATCCGCGTGGATTTGACTCTTTTTTTCGAAAGAGAGTATAGGGCTGCACCAGGCTGCTCCCGGTCTAGCACGAGCTCGGCGGAGCAGAAGTACTCCGTAGTACCCCCCACTCACCCCACCCCGGCGCACACTTCGTGGAACAGCCCCCTGGTGCACCCCTCCTGCCCCCCTCCCCCTTCCCCCCGCAACGTATGCGGGCAATCTGGATGCCCACTCACCAAGAACACCCCGTCCCTTTCTCTGACCCTGGCCGGACCCGCGGCCCATGCCCGCCGCCCATATTCATGAGTCTTTGCTTTCGTCTCGGTTCATAACCACGGCCAGGGGCGGTTGGAATGGAATAATTAGCAGTGAGTATACCGCGCTGAGACATGCTGAAAAGCAAATTATTATTATTGTCATCATTTGGTGGTGTTGCTGTTATTGTAATTATTGCTATCGGGAAAACCAAGGTGAAGTTGCGCTGTCTGCACAATATATTTGTGATGAAGACCTGACATGAAAAGTCCATAACTTTAGTCAGCACAGTCTTTGTTACACAAACGACGTGAAAATAATATGGCTCTCATCGTCGTAGCTCCGAACTGACAATCTTTCGGTGGGGCGCAACTTGAGTTTCTAGAGCACTAAAGAAAAATTGACTTCTTTACACGTCAAATAACAAAACAATAAAAAAATGGCTTAACAATGACAAAGTCTGTCACTCATACGATGCATACTGTTTCTGTTGATCCATTTTCACTGAACGCTGTACTAACGCGTGTCTACCACAAAAAGATGACGCCACTTATATTTCAGTTTTGGTGAAATATTGTCTGAATCAGGACTTAAATTTTACTTGATAGCTCCATAGAAGACCCCGTAACGCGTCTGATCAAACGATCATGCTAGGGTTTCTCATAATAGTTTCTTAATACGTTCCTGAAAAGTTAACGACACCTCTTGTTATTCTTTCCCTTTTACTACTTACTCTTCCTATTATTTAAGCTTGGAACACTGTCACATAAGTGCACGTTTGATTGGAAAGTTTCTGATGATGGAGCCATCAATTGGAATAATTTAAGTCCTGGCATAAGTATAATATTGGATAATAACTCATTCATCTCCTTGTGATAGGTGCGCGTCATTTCATCGTTTTCAAGTGTTTCTAAGTTTCTAGCAGTTCATTAAGATTTAGTATCTGGAACTACAGGGAGGAACAGCACCAATCACCTATTTCAGATGCTGAATTTCTGTGACAGCCTGGATTTGCAAATGTGGCCTGCATTTTTTCTATAATGGACGATGGACACACTTTTAACCATTATAAAGTTTGAAGTCTCCATAAGGTACCCAACAGATGCCAATCAGAACTTAATTTTTTGTAAGAAATATTTGTCAGGACACCAAAACGCCTTCCTAAAGAGTGAAAATACTAAATTTATTTAGCGTAGCGTACCCCCTGTTCTTCAATTCTACAAAGGTGGACTATAGCTATTCTCGCAAACGCCAAAAGGGGGAAAAAGGGAAAAATTGACACAAAAATTAAAACATTAAGGGTATAAATTTGAAAAATGTGAAGCAATAATAATGGAAGTGTGCAACGCCCTTGAAGCGTTCGGGAGCAACACCTCTGGTCCGTCCCGCCTGACCCCTCGCTACAATTCATTTAGCAATTCTAATGAGAGGCGGGGGAGTGGCGCAGGGGTGCGGGTGAGAAGGGGCGGAGAAGGGGAGAGAAGGGGAGGGGGAAGTTCTCGGGGGAGGTCTATCCGCTGTGATTGTTTATTAGTGCGATAATTAGTTGACTCAGTCGTACTAGCTTTAGATATTGACGGATTTGTCCTTTGCAAACATGTTTTGTTTTCCTCCTTTTTTTAGGGACCGTGTGTTGATATGGGGACGTGTTTACTCCTCGTTTTTTTCACCCTCCGAGTTGACGTTTACTCTTGATCCGTTGCAGTCAGGGGGTGCATCAATGTCGATCACATCTACGCACTACTATAACCAGCACAGTAATAATTAGGGTCGATGGGAATATTTCCAGCACTGTAACGACCCGACTGGCGGCGGCAGAGGGAAAGGGAAGGAGGGGGGGGGGGGATATAAAGTCACGGCGAAGGGCGCGGAGAGGAGAAACGGAGGTCGGAGGAAGTTTTGACGCGCCGACTTTAGCCAAGGATCATGATTTAAGTGGCCTGGCGTGGCGGTGCGTTTCACCTCGCCGAAGATGGGCCGCCTGATTTGCAAGTCAAAAGCCCACGGTGAAAGGGGCGAAGCGAGAGTGAGAGAGAGAGAGAGAGAAAGGGGGGGGGGGTCAGTAGCAGCGTAGAAAGTGTGGCTTACCTGGCGTCTGGCTAGCGGCATGTCCTCCCCACGATCCCTTGTAAGATGTGTCTGCAAGAAAAGAAAAAGAGCCCAGAAAATTAGTTTTGTGTCATCTTTGCTTTTTAAAAAAGATTTTGTTATTTTTTGTTTCTTTAATTCAACTTCCTCTATAGGCGAGATTTCAATCGCGTTTCTCTCCACCCCTCTGTCCCGTCAGTAACGTCGGAGAGAGTTTGGCCGTAGTGCATGTTGGGCGGTCGCTGCTCAAACACACGCCACACCTCTCAGACACTCTGCTTCTTAGGAGCTTCCCTCGCACGTTCCCACCACGCAACTTTCCCACCTAACCCCGAGTTTTGTTTTGCATAGGCTGCCAGGTACACGCCTACAACCTTCCGTGATATCAAACAACAACAACAACAACAGTTAGAGAGCAGGCTGACGTCTCAGCCGCACCCAATAACAACTTTTTCAACTTTAATAGCTGCGCTCCTCACCTCGCCTCGACAAGCTGGTATCGACCTGAACGTCAGACCCCCCCTCCCCCTAATATACATCTCTCTCTCTCTCTCTCTCTCTCTCTCTCTCTCTCTCTCTCTCTCTCTC